GAGGGGGATGGGAGGGGGGTGGGAGGGGATGCCCCCAAACCCTGCCCCAAGCCCTACCCCCTTTGTTTTTGATTTGAATTCAGTTGATTGTGTGAAGTGCTTCATTAAAACGTATTATCTTGAAGTGATATGAGACGTTTCACATCTCTATGGTGTTCAGCTGATGAACAGGCCAGTCATTTCGACTAACTGCCATTCTATGGATGAACAAATAACAATTTAAGCTAGTGACTCATAGGCCATAAACAACAGATCGCACTACAAATGGCTGCAGCTAATTAAATACAGGGCACAAAGTTATCAGCAACTTATTTAGTACCCAAGTATTAATCTCATCTTTGAATAAACTATTCTCTGCTTGTGCTTCAGTGTGCCTGGAATAACATTGATATATTTTTAGTTTTTTACTATATGACTTCATCTATTAACTATCCCCACCCACCAATTGGAACACCCCCAAATCCCTCCGTCGGAGCGACGAGGGGACCTGGCAACCAAATGCTATCTAACCTGCCTGGCAATAGCTCACAAATCTCAGTCCCTCCCCCCTCCCCCATTATTTGAGAATCCGTGACTGGAAATTTCAGGGATTTATGTATGTGTATGCTGTCACAGTCCTATGGATTATTGTGTTTCCTAATGCACTTAAATTGTGCTTGAAATTGTTGGCAATGAGGTTGTAAAGCATTCTTACAAAAATGGCACTGCACAATCACAATATATAGAACATATACACTGTACATTAGCCTTAGAAGAAAAACCTTACAGTGATGAGAAAGTTCAGAAGGGCATTGAAAAAAATGAGATTAAGGGATCATGTCTACGGTGAAGCTATTGCAGTTTAGTGACAAACTCAAAACATACAACTAATTTTCTGAATATATTAGAATTGATGAAATTAAATTAATATAACTTGAACTACCTGAAAATAAAAACCAAATAAGATCGATGAGCCTCTCATAGGGTCGCCAACCTCCAAGTAGTGGCTGGCGATCTCCTGGGATTAAAACTGATCTCCAGGAAACAAAGATCAGTTCGCCTGAAGAAAATATCCACTTTGGAAGGTGGACTCTGTGGCATTAGACCCCATTGGAGTCCCTCCCCTCCCCAAGCCCCACCCTCCTCAGGCTGCACCCCCAAAATCTCCAGGTATTTCCCAACCTGGAGATGGCAACCCTAACCTGTCATGACATTTTGATAATGATCTAGCTATTTTCAGTGATAAATCCAATCTTTGAACAGTGTACTATATATTAAGAGGCATAATAATTAGGCATAGTGATGAAAGAGTACTAAACTTATTATAGTATGGCTGCATTCAGACATCACATTAAGTCAACATTAGGCACACACCCAGCTTGTTCCAACATATGCAGATGCCTTGCTCCAGCCTCCCTACCTTCTGTTTCTAGGGCAGAATGTGATGAAGGAAATCTGGTTTAAATCCACCTCCAGTTACTTGTGATGTGTTAATATAGGCACACAAATTAACTGGAGTTCATTCTCCCACCCCAAACTAGGATTCATGCTCTGGATTAAACCATTTCCCCCTCAATTTCTTAGGAGAAACTAACTCTGGTTAACCTGGGTAATTGCATTCCTGGGTAATTGGAATATGTTTCAAACCCACATAATTCCTTTGTGCAAGCCCAGCAACAAAGTCAAATGCATACACAGTGTCAGTTTAATGTCATCTTTATGTGATGTTTGTATACATGCAATGTAAGAAGAAAAAACATAAATGAATTTTTTTTCTTGAATTACAATATTTCTACACAAAATGTGATACTGGCTGCTGGAATTTAAAAAATTGACTGCATTTGGGAGCATCACTGCAAAAATTTCCTACTCTGTTATCTGATGGATAACTTTCTTACAGAATATCCATAGGGTACTTAAATGGAAACAAACGTCACTTAAAGAAAGGGAATTTCCACTTACATGGAAGTAAGCTTCATGTAAATACTAGGACTTTGATTTCCCATCATATCTTGAGGACCGGGGTAGTGATATTTGAACCCAAGGAGGATAGAAATATTACTACAGCTACTGTATTATGTAATTGTTAGTGTATAAAATATGGCTGTACTTTCGTCCCCTTTAACATCAGATGCAGTTCATAGGTGGTCAGCAGTTTTGGCTGTCATAATCTGAGTGCTGTGTTCACTCAGCAAAAGTTATAATACTGTAAAGCAACTTTTAAGGAGCATGGAGGCCTAGAATATAAATGAAGCATCTCACTATCTACTCATGTATACAGGAGTATGTGATTTACTTTTTAAAAAGTGACAAAACTGTGAAGCTATCTGATACCTTCAAAATATTAATACAAATTTAAACACATCAAAATCAAAACACATTAGCTTGATCTTTGTAGATTTCCACAGATGCAAGGAAGATGATTTTTACCTATCCACCTTCCTTTAATAGCTCAAATCACCCTCTGAAATGGGGAAAGTGGGGGACACCAGGAATAGCTTGGGGAAATTGGAGGTCTCCCATAGCAGAGGGGATCAGTGAATATAGTTTCTCTTGCACCTGTAGAAATCTACATAGGATCCAAGCCGCTGATTCTACTGATGCTTAATTCAGTGTTTCATGCCACTAAGAAATGCTATGGTTTAATTCTGGATCATATTATATATGCATAAATCACACTGGGATTGGATCTAAGTATAACCGATAGCAGGATTGTACCTAAACTACACTCTTACACAGAAAGGACTAACTCAGAATTTGGTCAAGAGCAAAGGTTGTGCCTTTTATAGGTTAGAATTGTACCCAGTGGGATAGATAAAATGCAAAGGTTAATCCATGATCTGTTCTACACAGCAAAACACATTCTAACACAGGCTATTGTCGCTAAACTGCAATTTGCAATCCATTTGTCAAAACCTCAAGGAAGAGTTTGAGACTCAGCCTGAAGGTTTCTTTCATCTGTCTATATACAAACCTTCTTCCATACTTTATATAAATGATTAGTAACTTCACCAGCAGCCTTAATATAGAAAAAGGACAGAAAAGAACACAAAACAGTTCTTCATTAAAAATGAAAGAACAATGTATTCTGAGGTACACAGTCGTAGCATTTTCATTTTAACAGCATAAAGATTTACTGAGCCAGTTATTCCAGGATCGAGACATTATTGTGTTTAATAATTGGTAGTACTGACCTTTCATCTATCTAAATAAGAAATTTTCTTATGTTAGAATGAATTCAGTGCCTCATCTCTTCTCACTGCAGGTCCCTTTCTTTCAGTAAACCATTGACTGCTTGTGGATAACATTATGGATTCCCTGCATTGGGTCTCAGCATCTTTCTTTCCTTTCCTGAAGTACAGAAAGAGGCCAGTTCCACAATGTAACAACAGGCTTATCATAGGATAAATTGGCTGGGATCATAACACTTCAGAGAGCTTTAGTAGCTTTATGGCTCATGTTGTAAAGCCAGCCCAATTTCTCTGGGAAGTTTTCCACGGCTCTTCAAGTGAAATGAAATTCTGGCTTTTCGAGGCATGTTATTATGAAAGACAGACTGTTTATGTTGATGTAACAAACAGCAGATCCAGATAGCTGTACAGTTTACAGGATTCTCAGGTTTATACTCATTAAAACAAATCTATCCCAGACTATTTCGCTTGTGTGGTGCCTAATTTGAAAGCTTACCCAAACCAAAATGAAGGATATATGCAGTAGATCCTTCCTCAAACCCATGAACAGAGGAATTCCTGTAAGACTATCCATTTCCCCTCACTGTACATACACATGCTTACATGCAAACAGCATATCAGGGCAGCATGTCCAATCCCTCCCCCTCCAGCTCTCCTCCTCTGTTCAGTCAAGTTACTTTAGCTTCAAATGGGGACATACCATGCAGGGAGAGGCCTACAGGGATCCCTCTGCATATAAGTAATGCACCCTCAGATGAAAAAATCGTATTCATACATTGATAAATACATTTTTGCAGTGTGTGAACATGGATAATTAGCAAAGGAGTGAACAATATTAACAGGCATTATCATGTTAAATAACAAAATATGTTCCTTATGCAAATATGCCTATATATTAAAATACGTTATGTCTGAGTAGTGCCGCCTATGAAAGGCAGCAAACAAATCAGATGTGTATAACTATTCATGTCTATAATCAAAAGAGGCCAGACTTTCACATCTGAGGATGGTTGTTAATAGGCGCATATATATGTGTGTGTGTGTATTTCATGTATTCCTCATAGTGTCCTTTGCTGATGAGTTAATTGTTCTGTCTTGAATTATAACTTGGTGGACAAATGCAAGAATATTTATTGAATGCTCCTAAATGCATAATAATTGCAGGTCCAGCCGAGCTAAGCAAAAACTGGCAGGGGGGTGTTTTTAAAAGAGCTCATGGAATGTTATGAAATTCCAGGGATGCTTCAGAAGTGTTCAGCTGATAACAGAAATGCATTTCAAAGTAGGCTTGCCAAGTTCCCCCGGGGGGCCAGAGGCCCATTCCCTACCGCCGGTGGACTGGGCCCCGGGGGGAACTCCACCCCCCATGTGCACATCACCCGGAAGTGATGTGGGTACGCCGGGCATGCTGGGGGCGGGGCCACGGTCATCCGAGGGAAAACTCTATGGTTTTCCCTCAGATGGTCCTGGTCCCGCCCCCAGCGTGCCCGGCGTACCCGTGTCACTTCCGGGTGATGTGGATGCGGCGTGCGCGCACTTCAGACGACAGCCGGGAGTCCCCCGCTCCGGTAAGTTTCTGACTTGGCAACCCTATTTCAAAGTAAGGCTTCTGGGACAATGATATTATTTCACAAAGGTAAAAAAAATTGTGAGAAGTATTTACACTATAGAAAGGCATTTAATACAGAGGCTTTGGTGGCAATATAGTTTTGATTCAGCATACACTAAAAAGGTCAGGGAAATTAAGGTAGAAGCTAACAGAGAAAATAATTGTACATAACCTATAGCTATGGAGTTGAAAAGCTTCTCAGTTTGGACAGATAACCTCTGGAATTGCACAGCTTCTTTTGTACCCAGCCTTGCACCCCATTCTATGATAATGAAAAAACATCTTTCATGGGTGTTTTCTTAACTATGTTGGGCCTGAAATTTGTGCCTGTGAATATCACAGAGTTTCTACCAAAAAACTCAACAACAGGTATATTTACAGTTTGGGGGTGATTGTGTTACTTTATGTAGTTGGAAATGTATTTCAGTCACTAAATTACAACAAAGAGTTGAGGATATGAGTTACTATCATATTGAAAAAAAGTGACCCTGATCCATATGTGTGCATGGACACTCTGGTTACATGGTTATATGGGCATAGTCACATGATAATAAGCTGCCAACCTGCTGTTTTGATGACAGAGGTTTGATTGAAATATATTTTACAGGAAATTCAGCTGCAGTGCTGGATTGTTCTGGGAATTGCCTGTGTGGCACCAATCAAAGCATGTGGCTTCCATTCCTGCACTGAGCAAGGGGTTGCACTAGATGACCCTGGAGGTCCCTTCCAACTCTATGATTCTATGATTAGGACTGGGGCAATTACTCCATATTAAAAGGAATGTTTATTTTAATTTGTAAGATGTAACAAAAATAATTTGACCCATTTAAAAAACTTTATTTATACCCAGGGGTCATTTGGGGGGGGACGGGGGGACGCCATCCCCCCGGGTGAGGTGCGGGTGGGCGGGGCCTGGAGCTCCCTGCTGGTGCCCGCTAGAGGTCGCCGCCGGCTGTGGGGAGGACACACTTCCGGTGATGTCAGAGGGTGTGGCATATGCTAATGAGTTATGCTAATGAGTCCCCCTAGCTCTTTTTCTACGAAATGACCCCTGTCTATAACATTTTAAGAAACTTAAAGCAAGTGAGCTGCTGCATAACATTATCAACTGGCATAAACCACTGTGAAGTTCTGCTGCTCAAACCCATCGGAATAAACAGAAGATATGCATAAAATTATAGAAGTTCCCTTCTACAGCTTACATTCATTCCAATGGGGCTTGGACTGGAGAAATTCTAGACATGCTTTTACTTCACTGAGCTTTTCTAAGACTAGTCTTTACATATATACAGCCTTGCTGACTGTACCTTCTGGCTCACAGCATGAGCACAGTAGTCCCAAACTGGTTACCTTTTCTGTTCCTTCCTCCTTGAGGCTAATAATGTCCAAATCAAAATCCTTTCTTAAGCCATCTGTTTTGTTGAAGGTGATGCGCCCTGTCAAACCATCCCATCTAGCCTAGAGAGAAAAAAAGGATTCACTTTAGTTTAATGCCCAGGTTCAGCTTCACATGACTGGCATTCTCAAACAACTCAGAATAAAAACTCTCATTTGATTGATAATAAAAAACTCAAAACTTTATCTGTATGTAATAATGAAATATATGAGTCTTTGTTAGTAGCTCCAGAGCCACATTATGACTTCTGTGGGCCCTAGGCACTTTTGCCTTTGTGGGGCCCCTCCCACCATAATAATATCAATATCAAAAATTATTTTTGATATAACTTTAAATACTTCAACATTGTATCTTTTTCTGTTTTAGGCAAAATATAATAGATTTTTTTGGCCCTAAAATTCCATTTTTTTGTGATGTGAGAACAAAACTCTCGGAGGGCTTGTTCCCTAGAGCACTTAAGGAGGCTGTGATCTGTCCCCTCTTGAAAAAACCATCCCTGGATCCGGCCAGATTGGCTAACTACTGGCTGGTTTCCAACTTGCCCTATTTGGGCAAGCTAATAGAGAGGGCTGTGGCAGTCTAGTTACAGAGCTTTTTGGATGATGCTTCCATTTTAGATCCCTTCCAGTCTGGCTTTCGCCCAGGAGACGGGACAAAGACAGCACTGGTCACCCTCACGGATGACCTTTGGATGCATCTGCATTGAGGCGGATTGGCGGTGCTGTTGTTGTTAGACCTGTCGGCCATGTTTGATATCAGCTACTGATCCACCACCTTGCTGACACTGGAGTTCAGGGGCTTGCCTTGCAATGGCTTGCATCCTTCCTTCAGGGTCAGGGACAAAGGGTGACACTAGGGGAGCAGCTGTCCTGAAGGCATCCACTGACCTGTGGAGTGCCTCAAAGGGCAGTACTTTCCCCAACGCTATTCAACATTTATATGCACCCCCTTGCCCATATTGCCTGGAGGCATGGGCTAGGGTGTCACCAGTATGCGAATGACACCCAGCTCTATCTGTTGTTGGGCAGCTGGTCTGACTCTACACTGGAAGATCTGGACCAGGCATTACAAGCTGTGGCTGGTTGGCTTAGACCAAGACGACTGACCTTGAATGCGATGGAGGTCCTGTGCCTGAACTGGGGTGGCCCAGGAGTAGGGATACCACTCCCTACCTTTGATAGGATGCAGTTGGTGCCAATGCTGGAGGTTAGGAGTTTGGGAGTGCTCTTGGATGCCTCCTTAACAATGGAGGCCCAGGTAGCAGCCACTGCCAAGTCAGCCTTTTATCATCTTCAGCTGATCAGGCAGCTGGTTCCCTTCCTTGAAATGCAACGACTTGGCAACGGTGATCCATGCAATGCTCACCTCGAGATTAGACTACTGTAATGCTCTCTACATGGGGCTGCCCTTGTCCTAAATCTGGAAGCTGCAGCTAGTGCAAAATGCTGCGGCCAGGCTGTTGATGCATCTCCCTATGTGGGAGCACATCCAGCCTGTGCTGAAAGCATTGCACTGGCTACCAATAGAATACTGGATTCGTTTCAAGGTGTTGGTTTTAACCTTTAAAGCCCTTTACAGTCAGGGTCTGGCATACCTAAGGGACTGCCTTTCCCCACATATTCCCCAGAGAGCACTGCATTCAAGGGCCCAAAATCAATTGGCTCTCCTGGGCTAAGGATGCCAGGCTGGCTATAACCAGGGCCAGGGCCTTCTTGGTGGGGCTCCATACTGGTTGAACAAGCTCCCGAAAGATATCAAGGCCCTGCGGGACCTCTTACACTTCTGCAGGGCCTGCAAGATGGAGTTCTTCCACCAGGCTTTTGACTAAGGAGCCACAGTAAATACCAAGAAGTGTCCCTGTGCCCTGGCCTTACCACCTACATCCTGTGCCCACTGCTCAAACAAATTGAGCTGGTGAGAATACCATCAGGATTAGTATTGCGAACTTGAAACCTCTGCTCTTGCAATTTATTAGACCATGTTTCAGCACTTCAGGTTTTTTTAAAAAAATGAAGTGTCATGTTATTTTATGATGATTTTTTTTAATTTATAAATTCAATTTATAGCCCTCCCTCCCCGCAAAACATTTGTTACTGTTTTAAGTGTATTTATATGAATTTTATGTAAGTCGCCCTGAGTCTGCCGTGGTGGAGAGGGCAGGGTATAACTTGAATAAATAAATTTAAAAAATTAAAACATTTTCTTCAACCTTAAAAGTTCATTTTTTCCTTCTGATTTTAAAATAAATTAAAACATTTTCATGGGCCCCTAATAGTATTGTGGGCCCTAGGCAATGTGCCTACTGTGCCTAATGGATAAGTTGACCCTGAGTATCTCCATGGATACTAGCAATAACATTCAAACCAAAATTAAAAGAATGTTGAATTATTGGGCTGCAGGGAGTTCATTTTCATTGTTACCTTTCCTTCAAGGAAATCAGAGTAGAGTGCCCAGTCCTTCCCTTCTCCATTTTTTCATCATAACAATCCTATGAGATAAACTAAGGCTGATAAAGAATAACAGAGTCTGACTTTACCACATTGGCTCAAAGTAAACTCTGACAGATACCAAACCAAATTATTGCCAATTCCAACGCTATCAGATGCTATATTTTCTCACATCTCTTTTCCTTGTGGCGTCATCAATATATATTCCAATAATGTTATTATATGCTCTTCAAACCAGAATACTGATGATATATTGCAAAGAGTTAGTGAACCCACCACTGTCATCTTGCTGGTGTTTTAAGATATTGATGTGAATGCTCACATGTCCTTTCCAAAGGCATTCATTGAACTCTTTTGCTATTTTTCAAATTCATCAAATCCAGTAAGTTTTCAACTCCTCTAACCTCTCTAATTCAACACATGCCGTATTCAAGCCATAATATCCAGCAATCTACAACATTAGACTGGTTTGGGACTTTTGTACTTTGAACAACAGCCATTATCACCACATGATACATGCTTCTGAAGTGTGTGGTAGTTTTAAAAACAGTTTGTGGATTGTGGTGGGGAAGGATAACCAGCTATCTGTGTCCTTCTCTCTGCCAAAATATGGACCAGCAGACCAAAAACAAACAAACAACAGGAAAGTCAAATTCTGCTCATGATTCCTTCTCTTACATTAGAAGTGTGGCTTTATTGGGGAATAAGAACCTTAGCAGCTATAGGTAGAAAGTAGAAAGGTGAGAGTGAAACCTGGACTAAGCTTTCTTCTTCTTTTTTTCTCTTTTTGTGGAAGAAAGTTCCCAGGCTGAGCATTAACATAAACATTGTTGGATTAAAAATAAATAAACAAACATTGTTGGACCAAAACAAAAATGTCTAAAATGGGGGTGAGGGTGGGAGAGTTGTGAAAAAATAGTGTATTTTGTGGGGAGCTGTAAAGAGGGGATGTGGTCAGAATGATTTTTTGAGAAGGATCACACAAGCAATATTACTCACAGGTTACACAGGCAGGATAACAAAGGAGGAGGAGGCATATGTTGCAGTGGGATCCCAATTGTTGGACTTAAGTCAAGTATTGAAGTTAAGTATCCTGTATACCTGAATCCTTAGTGGAGGGAACGAACAAGCTGCAGTAGTTCAGTGCCAAGAAAAATGGCAACCTGAAATGGTACTAAGACAAGAAACTGTTTCTTGCACTTGATGCCCTATTAAACTAAAACTTTGGCATTTCTAAACAAACAACACTGTAAACAAAAAGAAAAATGAATTTTCTAGTGCAACTGATTATTTTTTTGTTATTTAGCTGCTCTTATTTATTTTTATTTTATTTATTTTATTTCATTACATTTATAAATTGCCTAATCCCTACAAATGTGGAGCTCTAGGTGATGGACAAATTTAAAATAATTAAAACCATAAAATTATCTCCAACATATTATACACAGTTGAAACAAGTGGTGAAGTTACGTTTTGTAGTTCCTTCCTGGTCCTGGATTGTGAGTGTTTCGGGACACTTCAGTGTCTAATGATACATTATAAGCCCTTCCTCATCAGTTAATTACCAAGCTCTTTCAGGTATTCGTTTTTTACAAAATTCATTACACCCATTCAGGGCGCTTTGCTTTTTTTTTTTAAAGAAGTGCCAGAACTCTCAAGAGGGAAATGAAGTTTTCAATCTGTATACTGAAAACTCATGAACTTTTAAACATTTAAAAAATAATTTTGTTGAAGAGGTTCCAGAACTCCATTCTGGTGTGCTGCCCCAGAAAAAAAAGCCCTGCACCCATTGTAGATGGCTATAATCCTACTAAAAAGTGCAGACAAAGTTTACAAAGTTATGTGTAACATCCCCCTTCTTCTTTAATCAAGACTCTAAAACTGAATTTCCTGAAATGATGAATCTTGTTTTATGCAGAACAATCAGTTTAGCTGTGACTTTACAAAATGGGCAACTGAAGGGCACATTATTTTCAGCCAAATAAACTTTCACACGCTTGAATTTTGGAGGTGCCTGAATAATATGAAATGGGCATGTCTGTCAGGCATTCTGGTGGGAATCCCATTGGGGAAAAGAAGAATATGGCTGTCCTATGAAATTGACATTGACTATGAAAAACAGCAAATAATAGCAGAAGATGGTGGAAGTCAGGAATCATTACTGAAGAACAGAAGCCCTGGCTATAGCCTTAACTACAAGCCTGAGGGTGTCTTAAAGAACAGCCTGTTACCCCTTTGTGTTATATCACCACCCTTGCCAGTGAGGATAAAACCCAAACACTCCCAGCCATGACAGCAGGTTATATATATTTACTTACCCAATCAGAGTTGAAAAAAAGTTCTTGACAGATCAGCTTATACAATCCTGGTCATGAACAGGTACACTACCAGTTAACAATATATAAAAGAAGTCAGCCCCCTCCCCCCAGAATTTCAATCTGATTCAACCTCATGTTTCTATTTTGTTCTCAATCAGTCTTTGGGCACAAGCAAAATTTGAGTCTGTTCTCAAAAAATGCCATCGCCAATGGAACTGCATGGACCTCCCATCCTCTCTCTGGCCATGGCAGTCCCAATGGTCTGTTGTAGGAGGGGGAAAGCCACAAGGTCTTATC